TGGGGCTGAGTATCACTGGGATGACTTACCCTCACACCTTTCTAGTTTTTAAATAATCCGATACCTAAGTAACAAAGACATTTTAAATGAGAGAAAACTAGTAAGGAAACAAAAATAGGGACAGATAATGTCCAGTGATTTACATATGGTATAAACACTAATAAGTGGTGTTAGGAAGTTGAGGAGCTAGGCTTTTTATATGTACATTAACTCATTTAATAAAGGAGTTAAAAAAGGAAACTTAAAAGCATCCTCAAATAAATGTTCTCCAATATTTTATATCTTTTATGATTTAAAGAAATGGGGTTTACAATTTTTGGTAAAATTGCTACATTCTTATTAAAAATTCTAATAATAGAAAAAGCAACAACAAAAAATTTTTAAAACTTATCAGAAATTTCACTACCCTGAGGTAATGACTACTAACATTTCGGTGAAAACCCTATAGGTTATATTACTGAACTCAGTGGATTGTCACCTCCTTCCCTGTAGGTGGACTGTATTTCCCAGCCCTACTGGCTTTGGACTGGGCCAAAGGAATTGCTTTGGCCAATGGAATACAAGAAGATTTCACTGAGTCACTGGTGAACAACAGCGATCAGAGGCATTGTGAGTTTCCATCAGCTCTCTTGCATTCTTTCTCTTCATCATGGGAGAGCCCAGCCCAGAAAGAGGGGTGCTCTGTCAGCGTGTCCCAGGAATGAAAAGGCAGGAGCAGCCAAGGGGAGTTCCGCAGAGACTAGCGCATCTCAGCCAAACCTAGAAGAGCCCAGCTTAACCAAACACCCTTCATGTGGCTTGGCTCATCTCACTTCATCTCTTGCTACCCTCCCTCATCCCAACTCTGATAGGGCCTTATGGATTTCTTCGAATTTCCCATACAGGTTGTATTTTTCAACAAGTAGGAGCTATCACTATGGGTGGTTCTAGATTTTATGAGACCTAAAACTAATAAAATTTGAGGACCTGATCTGAGGGGGAAAAATGCAAATTTTAAAGAATGAGGTACAAGGTGATTTGTAACAGATGTTGCTGTGCTCTGCCCATAATCCCCAGGCCTTACCACTTCTCCCCTTGCTGGCTGACTTCCAACTGCCAGCATCTGCAGCTCTTTGCTTTAACGTCTCCAAAAAATGAAAGGTCACTCTGCCCGTCACAAAAAAGCCAAATGCAACATGGAAATAACACACCCCAGGAGCAGACCTCAGCCCGTGACTAACAAGAACTGGTGTATAAGTACCACAGCTCCCTTCCCCCCTCAGGGGGCTGCCACACCGACCCCCAGGACTCTCAGGCAGGGGTAAGCTCTAGTCATCTGTAATGATAGAAACACACCTTTTAATAGCTGCCTTCACTTTCCTAGCTCACTTCCCCACCCCTGTGGCTGTTTCTTGTACTTCCCAAATTAACTACTTACATAGAAATTCCTGTCTCG